ATCATTTCTTGCTAGTAAACATTAATTTGCGATGAAATTCGATGGTGTTTTGATTTTAGATACCCCATGCAGAAACGCATAACACTGAAATTCTCTATGCGTTTCTGCATGGGCTAAGCGGATGGTAGTTGTTCATCTTATCAATAGCATGATTGTAATTTCATTTTCTGAGTTTATCATGTCAAGAGGTTTATTCATTTGAGTATTTGATATTTAGTTAATTTTACTAGAACTTTGATTTCGTTTTGTATTGTTTATATTGGATGTGCGCGTTGTGTACCCCACAGCTAGGCCCTCCATGTCCGCCATTACACTTTAACATTTGAAACGCATATGTGTCTCAGCCCATGCAGAAACGCATGCCCATGCAGAAACGCATATGACACCGGCGTTGCGTCGTACACATGATTTTTTCTGGCGTAATAGCAAAAAATTTTCTTGTAATCGATATTGTGATGCGACTGGCCTACAATAACGATTGCCTTCGGTAGTGGGTTTACTCTGAATGCACCTTGGCATTTATGTCGGTAAAGTGTGACGTTTCAAGATTTCAGCATATCGATATTTAGCAGGGCCCACGCCACCGGGGGCCGGGGCAGCCAGGGTCCCCCAGGTTTTTATGAAGCAAGTAGTTTTAAAGCTGTAGTATAAGGGGTAAGAAGCCTTGGCCCTCCACTTTTTTAGCCTTGCCCTCCCCACTTTTAAATTCTTTATACAGGCCTTGTTTAAAGCCAGATTAAATTTTAGCAATCTCTTTGATCGCATAACTTGTGAAAAACTTTGGTAGCAAGCTGAAATGAATAGCAAATTGATGAACTACAATCTATTCGTAAAACAGACATCAGCTTTTACACAACAAAAACCCTAAACTTTCTATTAATTAAAATGATACACCGTCTTTTTTTCTGTGAAATCACGTTGCTAACTTACGCATAAATACTAAATTTCTTCCCCCCACGTACCACTCTTTGCTTAGGTAGGATGTATACAGATAAGAAATTATTCTCTACCATAATACCTTCTAGTTTAGCTGAGCTCAAGATGCTGTAGTAAACAGGTGTTTATATTTTGTTTGTCTTGAAAACATGGAGTAAATACGGCATACCATTTCATGCATAATATTGTCCATCCAGTCCAGAACAGCCAGAACAGCCTTGTGAATTCAACTTCAACAGAAATTGCCTTACAACCAGTAAACAAAACGTCATTTTCTCCTAGTCGATCGCTGTTCTGAAAAATCAATCCTAGATCCTAGAACTTTTTGAAAATATTCCCTAAAGAAACTTTTTCTAGTAATAAATTATGCAAGAAATGACGCATCAACGATATTTTAAAATACCAAAATATATCACGAATCATTTATTTTCAGCATTCTCGTGTGAACGAATCTTATAGAATGGCAACGGAAATCCATTGAAACTAGAAAGCCTAAATGAGATTTTCAGGTGAATGTTTGTGAGTCGAAGACATAAATACGTTAGAACACTCAATAACTGATTTGAAAAAAGTAGATTGGGCGGCCTCTAGATGATGGTCATTAATTAAGCCTCGGAAGGACAAGAATAATGCTAGCCTCGATGACAAATGAACGAGCACGATAAATGTGCCTACGCAGGAGTTATGTGATGAGAAATGTAACCAATGCTCCTACGAAATGTAGTAACAAAATCAGCAAGGCTCCCCTTCCTAGCGATTGTTACAGGATTGCCGGTATACGTATAAAGGCAATCTTGTTCAAGAGACGAAACCTCTAGTCCTTTGTTCGGAAACAATACCGTCTTAAGCCAATCAGTGTTGCAGTGTCATTGCACATGCGCATTAAGAACAGCATTCGCACACCTGTGACCACGCAACTCTTGAACTTCTTGCCAGGGCTTCAAGTGATACTGCGCATGTGCAATGACCCTGAAACGGGGGCTAGTGCATGTCTGAAAGACGGAAATGATTCATTTCCCGAAGAAAATCGACAGATAGTGAACTGGCTTTGGCCATCTGCAAATCAAATTGGCCAATCAATAAGCGTAGTGTCACCCACACGTTTATTGATTGGCTAATCGTTGATTGGCAGATGGCTTAGACGTTTGAGTATCTGTCGATTGATATTTAGCTAAATAAAGCATTACATTTCAGTGAAAGTTGAGGCTTGTTTTCAGCTCTGAGAGTTGTTCTAAGATATCTAGCGTTTATCTGTAAAAGAGAACAGCCTCTCTATAATAATCGATTGTATAAAATATTTGCTGAAACATGCATTGACTCGTTGGTCAAAGGGACTTCTATTGTAATAAACGAATAGCAATAAGTCCAAAATCATTGCCATCAAAATTGTCTTGATATCATCAGTGGCGAAAGCAATATTCAAGCTATGCAAGGGAAAAAATTACCATCTAAGACATTTTGTCGAACTCAGCGCCTTAAATTCAAGATTTTCACAGAAAACTATATTCAAAGTTAGACACAGGATATTTTATGATGTTCATATTATCATGCCATGAACGGAGTCGATTCAACGGAATTGATGTTTCTTGCGTTTTTGCGATTTTTTAATTCAGCACCTCAAATATAGTTATACGCTATAGAATTTCCGTGTTGAAGTGAAGCAAAAGGGTTTTGTGATTATATTACCATTATGGAATGAAAGGCATTAATGCATGCCAAAAATTAATGATTCTTAGAATATTCTCGCTTAAGAAGGTTTTAATTTCGTATTCGACATGAAAAATTACATCTGTGATGGCAATCCGCTGAAAATCGAATCTTAACATTTTTCCGACCATCGCAAAACAGATTAAAGTTGACGCTTAAATATTACAAGCTTTTCATGCATTGAATCTGTGCCCAATGCATTTCACGAGCTCTTCCGTTGGAATCTGTCTTGAATTTCTTTTTGCAACAACGTAGTTTACGAAACTATTTGGTCCTTCCTCTCAATGTGACCACTCCTCGTGATTCCTACACCTGGATTTACAGAAAACTGGTGAATCACTTTTTGGTTAGCTTGGGTTACAAAAAAGGTAATTCTAAGCCAACACCACAGGCAGCTGCTTTTCTCGATTGCGCAAAATTGCACTGCACTGAATATATACAGTATTTAATCACGGATACTGTATATAGATTCAAGTCTTAGATGAGAAAACAAGTTTCGATCCACTCGTTGATTTTCAATCGTTTTTGGTGACTACTCCTTTTTTCTAAGGTACAGCAAGAAGACACGGGATTCTTAAATTCCATTTTGAACACTTATTTGCAAAAAAGATTGAAGCATGGACACAAATTTTGTTGGCATTTCTTCGTGCTGTCCGCTGTCTGTTCTTTGGTAGTACATTAATATCATTGATACTTTCCTCTATCCGAACTCTGTGATTAACTCGGAACCGGACAGTTACCGGTTTTTTCATTCCTGAAGTTAAATTCCTAAATCAGAATCCAGCTCTAGATGTTCGGTTCAGTAAACACAGCCAAAATAACGCAGCTTTTTTCTTTACGAGTAGATGGTTTTTCTTGAAATATTTGTCATGGAATTATAACAGAGTGCATTCACAGCCTTAGCTTTATTTCAAGCGCTTATCGTTTAGTTTCCGTCTTATTAAACAAATATCCAAAAATGAAATTGTATTGTGATTCAAGTAAAATGCAACGACGTGGACTAATTTCATCTCTTAACGGATTAACAGCAAGAGTACGAAGCTAAAGACATCGTTTTTCAAAAAATGTAGAAAAAACCATCTGCACATCACAAGAAACTTCATACACCTACACCATAATCTAAATCTTCATAGCAAAGCAACAACAATCATTTGTAACTGAAATTGAAAGATAAAGCAATAGACAAAGTGTAGATTTAGAAACATTGAAAGGCACTGGTTAATCACTAACAATTATATTATCTGTTAGAGTAGCAGTGAAGTAGACTAACAAAAAAACTAAAAAATTTTGGACGGTCGTGGTGGCAGAACAAATAACTCTAAAAAGAATGACAAAAGTCAATTTACATGTACAAATACCCCTACCTTTTGGATGGTGTTGCCAAAAACTTGCTTTTTATGTTGCCGTCGCTTTGTCTTCTTTCTATGATGCTCTTCTTCAATGAGAGCTTATTCCAGAGGCAGCTTTGTTTAAGCAGTCTGCGCCCATGGGATACTCTGAAAACGTGCACACGTTAACAGATGGCAATGAACCTGCTTCGCTCCTTCCCATCGGCCACAATTTACTTGAATGTGCGCAATCTGACAATAACACGCTAGTCTACTAGCCTATTTGTCTAAATCAATAAATTCAGTTGTAAGGGACCGGACGTCGAGTAAAATGCAACTCTTAGATAGTATATACAGAAATGTTATGATCAAATGTCTTTTGAAAAGAATAACACCTTAAGCCAGGCCCCCCCCACCTTTTTGTAAAACAATATAGTTTTCTTCAAAATCTTTTGTTCTGGGTGTTAAATTTTTCCTTCGCCTCCCCCCCCCCCACTTTTCAACCTTTGTAGGTGCCCATGTAAGCAGTATACTATTTCTGCATAAAAGGTTGCAGACTTACCTGAAAGAAGTTCAGAGCGTGCAAGAAACTCTTGCATGATTTTTCTAAAGCTAATTGAACTATTTCTTATTTTAATGAATGCAGTCAAAAAATCAGTTTTTATTTGCACAAAAAAGTGTGTGTACAATTGTATCTAAAGTTAAGCATATCTGCAAAATTATTTCATGAATCAAGAAAGTAGTTTGCCGCGGGCTATTTTGTTCCGAGTTAAAATTCCTAATATAAGAATGTGTCAAAAAGATCCCGATTCGGCCATTCCAACTCTGTGTTCAGTAATTTTGTCCATGATTACGGGGACAGAAAACTAGGGCTCGGCTGGATCTCAGCCTGATTCCACTTTCCGCCACTTTTGCAAGACGTTCCTGAAGATTCTGGCAGAATTCAGGATGACTGTTTTCTGCAGTTCAACAATTTTGATCTCAATTCCGATTTCTTTGATTCTTTTAGGGAGGTCTTTAGGGGGTCGTTCAAAGGACACTAATAGCTATAACGTTCAAAGGACATTAATAATCTCCCTGACCAGATCTTGGTATTTCTCTAACTTTTCTAATTCTTTTGTTTCAACTCGACTGTCGTATGGAATTGCGATGTCCACTACCAGGCATTCATTCTTCACTTTATCCTCTTGACGCCTTGCTTGTATGACATGATCTGTTTGTATGTTGAAGTCCCAAAGAATTGTACAGACATCGTTCTCCATCGTTGTTTCTGGTTCGTGTTCATACCATTTGCTTTTAACATCAAAGCCATATTTCAGGCAAGCTTCCCAGTGAATCTTTTTTTCGACCCAATCAAGACGTCGTTTAAACTCTTTTTGGGCCATCTTGATGCATTCACTTAAGAGATGATTTACAGTTTCATCAGCTTCCTTACACATTCGGCATAGACTATCCACCTGCGTTTTATCGATCTTAGCTTTGATCTGATTTCTGCTAATTGCTTGTTCCTGCGCAGCTAGGATGAGCGTTTCCGATTCTCTCTTAATTCCTCCCTTACTAAGCCATTCCCAACTACCATTGCTGTCCATGTGACGCTTTGTAAGTCCAGTCTTGCTTACGTTCCTTTTCTCTTCTACAATGTTTTGACTTCCTTGTCTGTCATTGTTATATTACTCTGTTGACCAATATCTCTAACTTCACAGCGAAAATTTTCTAACCATTCTGCTTCTTTATTGTGATGGGCTTCTTTACCCCAAATGTCTGACCAGAAATTTATAGCATTATTTGCTTCAGGAGCTTCACTGTCTTGGTATTCATTTTCTGCGTTCAAGTTTTGATAAAATCTCCCCTCGTTGTTGCCAAATAATCTGTTTTGTCGAAACTGATTCATTCGTTCTTGGTATCTCTTTATCTCTCCCGTTTTCGCTGCTATTCTTTGCTTTATTTCTTCTCTCACAGTTTAAAGACTTTTTTGCTTCATTTTGTATTTTATCTAAAGGGAATATTGATGTTTCTTTTTCATATTCTTTTGCTGAATCAAGTTGTTAATCCTGCTAAGATCTCTGTTCAGTTGTCTTACTTGGTCCTCAAATCTTCTCCTCCACCATGGCTCTTTCTTTTCATTGTATTTTCTACGCGTTCCCACCATTTCAGTTACCAAAGCTGCTCCTCCGTACATCAGATCATTTACACGAGTTATGTCTTTTACCTGCACCTTTCCCAGCACCGCATTAACCTTACTATAACCACTTCTTTTAACTTCTTACTGTCAACTCCCTTTCATGGTGGTAATCTTTCTCTCTGTTGTCTGCCAAAATCTTTTATCTTCTCCATAAGTAACTTCTCTTTTTTAGTTACGCTTGTCTCATCATATCCTATATCCGGATGTATCTCATTTATATACTCCTAGGTAAGCTGTTCTTCTGTGCATTCATCTCCTTGTCTGTTGGTTACATCGTCATTTGCTGTTGCGTCCGCTTGTTGATCTCTGCTCTGTTATTATAAACATGCCCTGTACAATTCATAAATTATGCATTCTCTTTCAATCACCAATTTTCTTTGGGTTGTTTTTCAAAAGCATTCCATTACAACTCTATTCTCTTTGTGAGACTATTTCCATCGAGTCCTCCAAGCAGTAGCTGGGTGACAACCGGGACCATGCTGCTGGATCATGGTATAGGCTGCGGTGTCCTTCAGGGTGATGGCCTTAGCCCATTAACCTTCAACCTTTGTTTAATACTTTAATTCATTACATTTCAGATAATAAATTCAACCAGCTCGGCTTCTATACAATCTCCTTAAACCCTGTCCATTGGTTTCAGTTCGCTGACGATGCGGCAGTTGTTACTGGTCAAGAAAATGCAACAAGAAAACAAAGCAAGTATGCTTCTCTCCTATCTGATTTACAGCGGCAGTTCAAATGTGTCTCTTTTGTGAATCTTTATATGAGCTCCCTTGGCATCTTTGGCAATTTCTGCATCTCCTTCTTTAAATGTGTGACTCTCTCTCCATCGATCAACAACAAAAACGATATCTCATCTCTAAACTTTACAACATTGCCATCCGTACTACGTACTATATATTTTGTTGCAAAAATAAGCCATCGACAAATCTGGAATTACATCCTTTTCAATTCTGTTTGTTTATTTTTCTCAGTTGTCCCTTTTACCTTACGATCGTTATAGTTTTTTCTTGTAAAACCAGGCTAGCCAGTTGCAAATTACCTTGTGATAGTGAGATTTGTAATTGTAGTTTAAGCTGAATTGAAAATGAAATGTTTCCATTATTATTATTATTTTTATTATTATCATTATTATTATTATTTTTGTGTGAATCTCTCCAGTCCATTGATGTTCTTCTGGGTAATCTTTGTCATGTCTCAGCTACTTCCTGCAGCTTAGAAACACAACACTTTCCGTAATATGTGAGCTGTTCCAAGGATGGCCGACAACTGTGTACTTCCGACGATGTCAGGAATGTCTAACTTTCTATGCCAGGTCTTTGCGTTCTTTGAGATTGTCACTTTCGATGCTCTGTGGATTCTCTTAACTTCAAGTGCTAGATCTTGATATTCGGTCACCTTCTCGTCCTCAGTTTTGATAATGTTCTGATCCGCTGTTACAGCTATGTCAATTAGTGTCCTGTGTATCTTTCCGCACTAGAGTAATAAGATTGTGCTGCAGCTTTCTATCTTTGTAGACAGTCGTGTCCCAGGTAATTTGATCAAACCACTTGTCGGTATATTCTATCCCGTACTTTCTGCCCAGCTCCCAGTGTACCCGCAGGACCAACATGTCATGACGTTTCCTGTACTCTCTTTGAGTAAGCTTCGTGCATCCACTGATAATATGCCTTACAGTTTCAGTAGAGTCTCCACACAATCTACACAGAGGTGTCTCTGAAGTCTTATCTATAGCTCTGTTTACACGACAACTTTTAACCTGGGTTAACGTTAACCTGGGTTAGAAATTTTGTAGTGTAAACGCAGCTAACATGGGTTGAACCTGGCTTAAGCCAACCCTATTCTGGAGGTTGATTGAGCCTAGGTTGACCCCAGGTTAAGAACTTCGAAATGCAGTGTAAACGCAAACCTGGGTTGAACCCAGGTTAATGATCTAATTCGCGCATGCGCCTTTTGAGCCATGAAAGGCGCCAAACACAAAGTCAAAACAAAATTCGTCTTGGAACGCTCGTGCAAAAAGGTCCTTCAAATTAAAGCAGCATATGCAACATCTTCAGTTGTAATTAACAGAAGAAGTTGCTATAAATACGCGATCAACATTCGAAAAGGTTTTATTCGAAATGGAAACATTTGATTCTGAAAAAGTCTCGTTCTGGATCAAGCACTGAGAATAATGGATCTAGACAATAACGGTATAACCAAACAAATCTTGATGTCAAAGAATTGCATCGATTTAATTAGGGAGAATCAAAGATGATAACGAATAGTTAGGCATCACTAATTGGCAAGAGTGGTGCGAATGAAGACGATCTATGATAATCTGCAGATAATGAATAATTCACAAGACTTACAAAAATGCCGAATAATGGATCTTCTCGTTTTCCTGATCTAACGGCTACGTTGCTATAATCCAAAAGTTGACAAATGCTTTTCTGAATGTTTGAGAGAAAATCTTGTAGGATGAGAAACTTAAGCATCACTAATCGCAAGAAATGTATATAGACAAAATGAATGCACAGGCATCTTTGCATGCTCGTTTCACACAGACACGAGAATAAGCTGAGCAATCTGGCAATATGCGAAGCCAAAACACGATACTTATATATTATTGCATTTCATGGTTTGCTTGAAAAAAGGTTAGACCTAGAATTCTAAAAAATCCAGCATATACAGCTGTAAGCAACTACGTTTTCATCAACTGCATGCTGGATATACGGTGATGTATCCACAAACAATACAGCGTTGTTGTCATACATCTTCTTTACCATGTTTTACTTTACTGTTTGTTAAGCAAAGTAAAGAATCGCACGGACACTTGATGTGATGAAAATCCAAAGAATAGTTGTGAAAGCTGTGTTTCAGGTTATGAAAGCGTTCCAGGTTATGAAAGCGTTCCAGGTTATGAAAGCTGTAGCATATATTACGCATCAGCTGTAGCATATCAAGTGATGTCATCATACATATTATGCAGAATAGCCTGACTGTTCAAATGAATTAAGAACTTATTTTTACAAAAATATTTTTATCACGATGAGAATAATGTGTCCAGCTCCTGCGAAAGTTTCGAAAGAAGAAGCAAGCGCAGGCGTCTAAGGGAACAAATTATTTCAGTTTCCGTGACATTTCAAGTCTTCTAAATATTTCAAACTAGCAAAAAAGGTTGAAGTAAAACGAAAGATTCTTTGAAGAACGAGTTTCAAAGCAATGTGAAACCGATCCCATAACAAACCTCCATGGCAGACCTTCAAGTCTGCCGGATTCTATCTTCTCCTGTCTCTATATTCAAACAATGCATAGCATTCTTCCTTTACTAAAATCCCATAGATAAGGTAGAAAACGCAAATCATCTTTGTCCTTCTAGAGTTCTGTGTCACTTTTGGGTCATCTTTCTCTTACAGGCTAGAGATAGTGTGCTTGTTTGCTCGCCAAGTTAAGCTACTGTCAATCAGAAAGGCAAAAACTCTAAACTCCTAGGAAGCAGCCTTGCCATTGCTGTTCAATAAAACAAGTATTTTTCGCCATGATTCAAAGTAATAGATGGCAAAATGATAATGTCACTAAAATATATTGCTAGAAATTTTCAGTTTTAACCATATGATCTGAAAAAAACACCATCAAATCACTATAAATATGCGAAATCAACTAAATATGTCACAAACTGTCTTACATTTGCCAAGATCCCCATCAGATCACAGTAATTTTGTCTGTGTTCTAAAATTTATAAACCAGACCAACATAACGACAATCAGTTAGGAAAATTTCGGCCTTTTATATATCATATCTCAGTGAAGTTGTAACAGATTTTACACAATCAGAAGTTATTTGTCATGTTCTTTCAAGTCTTACCAAACGTACTATAACAGCTAGATTGTACCACCGACAAACAATACATCTAACATGCACTTTAGATTCCATTTTATTACCGCTTTTTTTACAGCTCATGAAGAGGAAAGTTTGCTCACAGCAGTGTTGCAACCATCTCTCACCACACGAGGAAAGGGAATTATGAAAAAGGCATAAAAGTGTCACAACAGTGAGGGCCATTGAAATTTCCTTGATAATTACGAAGGCCAGGGTCAAGGGCACTTTCAAAAAGGCAACTTTTGCCCCCCTCTACCACTCCTATCAAATGACAAGGCTCCGGCGTTCCTCCTCTCTAGCGTTCCTTCTCCTCAACGTCCTCTCCAGCGTTCCTCCTCGCCGGCGTCCGCAGATAAATCCATTTTCCTAGATAACTCTACAGAAACACTTTTATCAAATTCATCCTTCCAAACATTACTCAAAAATCATCTCTTGATACAAAAAGTTCAGTTAAAGTGATATTCTAGAGCAGCTTCCTTGCAATTGTGATACTATAACATTCAGTGCACTATCCGTTGGAAAAGGTAGAAGTCCAATGAAAGGTTTGTATCAAACAAATCAAAGTTGATAGACATCTAATGCTATATCTCTCAAGCATCTGTACTATTGACGTGACATTTTGCTTCAGTATTACATTTAACTCTGAAACTAGGTAAGATTATTTCTAGCTTATCTTATATCATTTGGGCTTTCTTTGATTCTAATTTAATCCTATTTAAAACTTTTGCCACATTTTTTGCAGCTAGATTGAAGCTCCATAATACTCTTTGGAAAGTAAAAATCCTACAAAAAATGTTTCATTTTCTTTCTAAGTTACGAAAGCTCGCTGCAAAATGATTAAAATAGTATTCGAACTGAAAAGCGTTGCAAAAAGATAAAGCCTGTGTTTTACTGTAAATTCGAATCAGTTTCTCAGGATCAGCCCGAATTTCAACATGACTTGGCACGTAACTATGGAGCAGTACTGAGTTTGCTTCCTGCTTGCACAAAAAATATTTTTGAAAAGCATTCGTTGAAGAAGCGTTTCACAGCTGGAAACAGCAAACGTTGGCCTTTTGCAAAAAAATGAGGGCAAACGGTAGCGATAATCTGGGAGAAAATCGCCCTTAATCACCCTTTAGAAGACAGTGAGGTAGTGGATTGCATTGTCAAAAACTGCGAAGAAACCATCATCTGTGTAAACAGCAAAGATGTCGCTCAATCGCACTGTCGATAGCCTTAGAAAAACCGCTTAGAAAGCAGCTGTAATGTTTCTGTGGAAGATCAATGCATTACAAAATGTCAGCTAAGAAAGCTTATGCAGTTTGCGTATCGTACAAAATCCTTTTAGAGATTTCAAAAGAAGACCAACATAAAATCAAGTTTAAATCTGGTCAAGGGCAAATGAAAGCGCAATCTGATTTCAAGAATAGACGCTCTACAAATAGCCACTTAGAATTTGAAAGTAAAATCTACATACTGCCATCAACCTCTACTATTCAAAATTGTGTTAACTCCCTCTAAAATTCCAAAATATAGGTTCCTTTTTGGGCTTTTTATAACAAGTAAGCACACAAGCAAATGTAGTGGTCTTAATATCTGTAATTAACAGGCCTTTATCGCCTAGCTTTGTCTTTTTTATCTTGTTTTGTTTTGTTTTGTCTTGTTTTGTCGAGACTCTGTTGTTGTTTGGCAAAAAACGCACTTAAGCTGGGCAAATATTATTGAAAAACTTTAAACTTGTTGGAAAATTGGGCGACTTGAAAAATTTATTAGAAACAAACGTCTGTTATAAGAGTTAAGCAAAACTTGACACATATTATATTCACTTCGGGTCCATTTGTTTTAAAAAAGTCATAGAAAACCAGCTTTAAAATAAAGACAATGATACTGATGATACTGCTTATCGTGTAAAATCACAAGCAGAAATGGCTTTCAGGAAGCTGCAACAATCAGTTTAAAAAAGTAGACATTTTTAACAAGAGCTGGAGCCGAATGAATTTCCTAGAAACCAGGTAGCAAACAAATGTTGCCATTATGTAAGTCTTATTCATGAGAATACCAGAGCATAATTTTGAAAATCTCTAAAGTTGACATTATTTTGACAGAAAGGTTTCATAGAGATGGATTTCCCTATCAAAATGGCAAAGAAAAAGTCAATCTATAGAATATTCAATAATAACAATATTTCATCTTACAACATCCAAGCAAACAAGAAACTGTGATTTAAAGTAGAATGACATGTCTGTCCACAAACTCTTGACCATGATAATTTCACACCAATTAAGAGTCGAAAATGCTTGGAGCTACAAAAAATGATTACCAGATTAGATCATATGAATTTTTCTTCAGCTCTGAACAGCAGCAGGAAACATTGAAATACGAGAGATTGATTATTAATTACCATTGAAACTGAAATAAAGACTCTACATGTGGGGTAATATTGTCACTGGTGTGAAATTTTCAATGACATCAAAGAGAGAACCTTATCTGATTAGACAGAATAATTTTCAATCTTCCTGGTCCAAAAAGCATGTCTTTCTAATTTATACAATATAGATTCTTTTCTATTTAGCTCTAAACAGGCTTCAAATGTGAGTTGTCAACTTCCTCTAATGTTGTGAAATTCTTTTAGCAAAAAAATCTCTAAGGAGCGCAACATGATATATGCAAGCCATAAAGTAATTGCATCATTTACAAACATAGTTATTGCAACAAACCTGCAGCTTCTTGCTCTTTCTTAATCCTTTCAAATTCTTCTCTTTCTTTTCTAAGTTTCTCTTCTACTTCTTTGTCTTTGGCAGCCCAAATTTTGACAGTGTCTAGAAATAATCACCATACATTTTTAAAAATAGCAATGATTACAAAATAAAGTGACTACAGTGAAACATTGATAAGGACAGGAATGACAGCAGTCCTTGTAATATCAGGCATGCAATTGCACGCTTACGCCTCGGCACATGCCTAAAACTGTTGAGGCATGATTTTCATTGCACGCCCAGTTCCATGTTTTGAATCACTATTCTTTTTCTCTTTTGTTTCTTCTAATTTCTTGTTTATTTTATCTAAAGTAATTTTTATTTCTTTTGTGTGCATTATCCTGATGGCATTTCCAGGGAGGCATAATAACCCTTTAAGGTCCGGTTTTCATTACTCTGTTTTCATATATGTCTCCATTTTTCTCATTCCATTTTCGTATTTTTTCTAACAAATTACTGAGCCACTCCTTTTTCGTCAAAACGAAAACGTGAGTGTTTCCATTAATCCATTTTTATTTATTCTCATATTCTTTTTTAGCTCTTTTCCCTGAGATTGAATGACTCTGTTTTTGAATGCCTCTGTCTTGGCTGTTCCTAACAAAATGATCCATTTTAAAATGATTCAATTTTTGAATGACTCCACTTTGAACAGCATTTTTGAATGACTTTTATTTGGTATCAAATGACTCTATTTTTGAGCAAATTAAAATCTCCTTTTTAAGAGTGTCAAAATCTAGAATGGATTCATTGGAATCTGTTCTCACACAAAAATTGCAAGGTCTCCATTTCATGGATTGCAAATCATTGCACACCTAAACTTTTCAAGGCATGTGATTACCAACATGCCGACAAATTTCAAAATACCAAGACTTAATTACAGTGAGTAAAAATTACAACTGCTGCTAACAGTCTAATAACATCATTCGCTACTTAAATCCTTTGCAGAAACAGCTGAGACCATTTTGTCTAAAAAATTTTATCAGTGTACAAAACATTGAGTTTAAATAATCCTTTCTTTAAAACATATTTTGCTTCTTTGAAGATACATACAGAATTTTCTATGCACATATCTCAATATCATGGGGTTTATCTGCCTAAGGTATGATTTAGCTGTAAAACAATCACATTGCTGATAAGTAAAAAACTTATAATTGCAGAGCTTTCTTTATACCTTTGTGCTTGTAACCATATGCCATGCCTACTAGAAGAGCAGCATACCTGGAAAACTGTTGATAGAAAAAATAAAAAAAATAAATCCTTGATGATTAGTAAATAGATGAAAGTCAAACTTTATCTGATCAAAGGCCTGAAAATAATATATACATCCTATAATCTCCTGCTGAAATCTATCAAGTGCAATTAATTTAAACAGGGATGCCTAATGTGACCCAAAGCAAAGGTTCCAGTGTGGCCAATCATAACAGTAATGCTACGAACAAGGATGAAAAATGTTTTAAGCCAATAAGATTGTTTGTTTACATACATTAAAACACGTAAAAGACATTTCTTAGAAAACTGAGAAGAGAATAGAACAAATTGAATGCAACATTTAATTTAGCTTCTTCTACACCAAACAAAGGAAAAAGGGAAAACCTCTACAAAAATTTAACATTGAACATGAAATTTCTCATTTTTAAAGAACTTTCTACAATTCTGGATAATAAAGAGGCACATCTAAAACATGAACATGTTCAAAACAAAATGAATCAATCTTGATCAATCAAGTCAAGACACTTCTGTCAAGACGTCAAGACTCAACCAAAACATCTAAATTTATTTGTAAAAAATATTTTTCATAAAAAATTCATATTGACATCTGAGAATGATTATGCTTATGCCTCATCTGCTTGTCAAAACAACAAAAACTCCAAGGCAATGCAGTTCTACAATCTAGGGTTAATAAAACTATAAATGTTGTATGCCAGACAAGAAAACTAATTAATAGAGAAAACTATGGTGTATGAGTCTTTGTTTTATTTTTTTTTATATCAATGTATGTGGCTTTTTGTTTTACATCAAAAAATTTTGTTATGGTTTGGACGCCAAAAACCAAAAAAAAATCCTCAGTGTCTGCTGAAGATCTTCAGACCTAAGTACACTCCTTTTTTTATAAGAACTACTTTTAAGAAAACAGGTCTCGAAATTGGTAAAAAGTTCAGAACAAATTAAGAACAAACTAAAGCTGAGTTACTGTAAAATGCAAATTGGAACAACGTTTTATTTCAGAAATGAGGATTTGTTGCCATGTGTGAGTGCTTTTTAGGTGAATATTCAAACTTGGGCTAGACTGCATTTTAGCGATCCACTTTTTTGTTTCCTGGTTAGAAGTTGAATTTATCGCTACTACCTAACATCGATGACATGAGTAACATTGAGAATAAAGATTCAAAGAAACAAAGACATTCGTTCACAACTGGATATGGAGTAAAATGAATCAATTTATTATGCATCAAAAGGGTTTCGGGGGCAGTAGCCCCCAAGCCAGCAAAAAAATCAAAGTCACCCAAACTGATTTTGAAACTGATGTTAAGCTGCAATCGTATGAGAGTGAATCTTTAAAGGTGAACTGACACGCAAAACTATTTTTTGATATAATGCAGAAAACAATTCATGGAATCTTAATTTCAAGTTTTCGGTTAATCATTATTGTCCGTTTTGACGCATTTCCGCTCTAAATGTCATGAAATTATCGTTGAATGCTCGACCATTGTCGGCATTTCATGTGACCCAGTGCGTGTGACGTCACAAACATCATGTTTTGATTCCTTGAATGGAAATCACACATGGACTGGACAGTTCAGTTCATCTTGTTCAGTTACTATTCGAGGAGATATACGTAGCCTTTGATCCAAGACTCATAAAAATTCGAGGCTAATGAAATGTACGAAGGATATGTGCTGGCTGGTACTGCGTTATATTAGGAGGGAATTTATCTTTGGAAGGAATAGGCACTTTTAGCTGCTCGAAGAAATTCTCAATTCTGAAGTCAATCATGCGGACGAATGTAAGAATCTTTTCATTTTATCATGAATCTAGCTTCTTTTTCGAATAAATTCAATATATTATTACTTCGATATACATCCATATAAATCATGAACGTTATTTTATTTTGGGTGTGCAAACTCATCGGTTCACTCGAGTTACAGGAGGGCAGCAGCCTGGGAGATGAAAATTTTACTAAGTTGTTATCCTGCAAATAGCGAAGCGATCGTACCAGGTGCTTAACCCCTGAAAATCTTCCATGTGATTGAATAAGAAATATGCCGAAAATGAATGACGTTAATTCGAAACCTTTACTGCGTATATTGAAGATAACCAGGATCAAAGACCGAGATTAACTTTTGGGGGGAGGAGGGAAGCCCTGATAAATAAGTCAAACAGCAGCCGTATTTAACAAAATATAAGTATTTTACTTAGGTTTCCAGAAAATAAAAAATCTGCCAATATTTTCATCGCTACCATTATTCAATATGTTGGCCCGCCACACACTGGGTCCTGCAAGATGGAGGAAGGGCCGCAAAGGCGTTGAATAATATGATATTCTTGCAAATCTTATTATGAACGGTTTGTAAAGGAGTCATGATTTGTTTTCCTATCAGATTGTCGAAATGGAGCCAAAACCTACTGAATTAATGTATCGATGCTCATCCGCAAAGTCATGAAAGTACCACCCTCCAGACTGCCGTGTTGTTCAAGTGATGTGAACATGGTGTTTGTGACGTCACGATTATGCGGAAGGCTCGGGCAAACTCGTTCGTGCTCGGGAAATGTTCGGTAGCTAACTTTGACGCTCAATAACTCGAAAACTGTGTTGAATATTAAAAAAATAATAATATACCAGGTATTTTTGCTCGATATGCTTTCATTTGAGGTCAAGTTAATTTTGCGTGTCAGTTCACCTTTAACTGGTTGAACTTCTGAGATTCCAATTTTCGATTGTTTCAGAAACCAGGATACAAGCCCAGACAAAATGGTCGAGACTTTTCAAGGAAAGCTTATATTTCATTTTCCTTAAAAAAATAACTTTTCCCCCTCCCTCAATTCAATGTTGAGCGCATGATTTTGATAGAGTAATGATACAACTACAAATCCAAATCCGGGGGATTTGAATTTACAGGGGCAAGGTAAAGTAGAAAATTTGTAATTCAATTGAACTTCCGACCACGAAACAAAAAGGTGGGTCGCTAAAGTGCAGGCTTCCCCAAACTTGTCTGCAAATGAAGGTTGTCTCACTCACTTTGTTGGCAAATGTGGCCAAAACACCCCCCTAGAGCCAAGAAGCAAGCAATTACACTGCTTATTTAAGAACAAATAAAGAATTCCAGCCTTAGATTTTCAAAAAAATTTAGAATAGTCAGCCTGAACATAGATTTACTGGCTCTTCTAAAAAATAAGTGTACATGGAATGCACTCTGGTCTATAATAAATATGAGGTCAACCTTGACGCGGTACTTTTAATACTCAACATACCGGCAATCAAAAATTTTGATCCATATTTCAAAAAAACCCTAAAATCAATGAAAACTTGTGCCTGTATCTGCTCTCCATATTTACCATTAAAAAAGCTCACTGATAAAAAACGCGATAAAAAAGTAGGCTACTCGCTACTGGGACTACTAAGTCTTCCTTGGGGCTGGCCTAAAACTACATTCTGTTTCCTCGGTAAACATTTCTGCAAACGCTGAAGAAAGGGTACTAAAAATTGCTGCAACAAAAAAACTTACTCTTATAACTGGTGATACTTTGACAGGCATTTTGACTAGAAGTGTTGTGCTAAAATCAGCCTGGCTCCGGGCAAAACTGCTTGTCTTCAGCAACTTGCTCGAGAGAGAAAGAGAGCCTCGTGTGGGTATGCCAAAGGAGGCTATGGTGTAATGGCAACAAGGGACGCAGCTTGGGTTTGGGGACTCCAGTACGAAGAATATCAAGTTTTGGTTTTTTAAGCTAGCTATGTTTATTTTGCAATAGGACATTTAATTTATTACCAAACGATCGATGCTTTCGCTCTTTTTGGGCAAAATTAACGTTTTAACGTTCAGTGCTGAGAAGAAGGGTGTCAAGGAGTCACTGACCTGGGGGCCCATGGCTACAGGGTAGGAGCCCAAAAGCATTAAATTAGCTAAAAAAAACTAATAATTCAGCCTCTTCTTAATTACAAACTGTCAATAATCGAAATAATAATGACAAAAGCCTATGAATGATATTTAGTAGAACCGGAAACCCCGTTATTTTAGGCAACTCCTAACTATTAGCTATTGGCTTTAGGCAATTCCTAGCTGTGGTACGCGAATCTATTGGCAACAGCGTGCCTGTTTTGATAATTTTAGAACTTAACAAAATGTTTATTTTATGGCTAAGAAACTGTATCTTCATGCATTATAGCATTAATATATCAGCTAGATAAAATGATAGCGTTTATATATCAGTTATGTTGAAATATAATAAAATTGACACACGTAATAGCCACCAGAGAAATTTTAGCAGCAGCAAAAAAGCCATCAGAGCAAATTTCCCGTGACGCATTCCCTCGTAGGAGAGAATGCCTCAGACGCGCTTTGCTATTTTTCTTTGGTGCTGACCCGGAGCCCATTAATCCTATCCGCGGCCCTGTAAACGTTCAATTGCTGGGAAAAAGTGTTCCTTCCAGGTTGGACTTTTTTGTCAATATATGCTCTTTCTATAAGAAACTTAGAATAGAGATCTTTAAGTTTCTTTAAACTTTCTTGGATTTTAGGGGCAGCAGCAAAAAATAATAAAACAGCTAGTTGATGAAAATATAATTAATATATATTGAATTTTCTCATCAACATCAATGCAATATCTTTTCTAAAACTCTGGTAGCCAGCGACGTCCGAAGTTGTATTCCCAAGTTTGAATAAATCAAAGACGGCATGAAGAAGCAGAGTTCTTCCAATAAAGTTTTGAGAAGGAATGAAGAAGCAGAGAATGAAAGTCATGAGTGTTTTAAAGGCTAAATTTTACTTATTATTCATTTTTTCAATCTTTTGAGCACTTGATAATCTATATCAAGTTAACTAAGAAAATAACTTAAATCGTTATGATCCTCCTTCCTCCATACACTGTTTTCAGCTTCCATTTGCGATTCTCTGAATCTTGAGGCATCAGCCTTTTAAGCTTTTAGGCTTTGAAAGAAATGAAGGCCCATATATTTTCTTTTACAAGCAAGCTGAAATACATATCGAGTTCATGATAGTTTTTCCATTAAATTACTGAATCATTATGATAATACTAAGAGGAAGGAAAAAAGTAAATGTTTCTCATTTTCAATATAAGTTAAGATTTTTTTTCTCAAATGTACGAGGTACAACATTGGCTAGGAAAATAAGAACAAACAATCATATTCTTAATTGCAGATGAAAATTATTACATTATATTTTCTTATAACTTTGAGGAATAAAATACCAGACAATGACAAACAGGCTGTAGAGATTGGTGTTCTTTATTATAAAACGTGATTATTTTATTGGTATTATTCAATAAGAGCTCCCATTTTCACTCAAGATCATTGACTATTGACAGATAAAAGATATTGCTACAAATAAATAAATTTGTAAACTAGGACACATGAAACTAATATAGCTATCATTTTCTGGTATGGCTTTTAGACAGCTGGGACTATTGAATGGAGAATCTGAAAATATTCTAAACAATTCTTTGGTATATAGATGACTAAGAAAGTCCTATCGAAGTAGAGAGCCGGTATGGAACGGCTCGATAACACAGATACGTTGACATATTGAAAGCTAACTTGACTGTTTGCTTCAGTTTAGAACTACTTCGTGGTCTTTTGTACCATGATCCTACTATTTTCAACTAGTTGAAATTTAGTGTTCTCAAACTGCCAGAGTAGCTTCAAGCTCTCCAGATTCTTGCAATTCCTAGAACGAGATATAAAAAACAATAACCGAAGAAAGATTATTATCATTAGGTCAACTGATAGCTTCAGTGGAACCAAGGTGACTCTGATAGGCCTATTACAAAACGTTATAATAGCAGCTCAAGTTACATATCAGGGCGTCAAGATATTTTATAAGTCAGGCTCTCTTCGAGATGCAAAATTAGCAGCAAATATTACGCGCAACCTAAAATTCCCTGGAAAAAGAAAAATGACAAAACTTATTCTAACTATACATGAATCTGCCTAATTCGAAATTAGCCTCCAATTTCAGTATATACCTTAAAAACAAGAGGGGAGGGTCTCTTGAAAACAAAGGTTCTTCTATGAGGGAATTCACTGCATACAAGTCAGAAAATGAATTGCTCCTAAATATTTTATTCGAATAAGCCCCTTTGCCATATAACCCCATTGTAAACAATACGAAAAATACGAAAGCCTTACCTTTAGGATATCCAGTCCACCAACTAATTCACCATTTACATATAATTGGGGGTATGTAGGCCAGTTTGAGTATTTTTTTAGTCCTTCTCGAACCTAAAAACAAAAAACCCTCTCATGAAGGTACTGCCACATAACTAAAATTACTGTCAATTATAGCAATGTGTCCGTTGTGTAGAGGTTATGTACACCAGGCTTAAAATCAAGAAAAAATATTTGGAGATGTCCGTTATTGGGAGGTGTCAGTTATCGTGAAGGGTTTGTTATTGTGAGTTGTCTATTATCCGAAATGCCTGTAATTGAGAGATGTCGATAACTGGAAGATATCTATTATAAGGAGGTGTTCATTATCAGAAGATACCAGTTATTGAAAGATGTAAATTTTCGGAAGATATCAATTAACTGGAGATTTCCACTAGTGGGAGCTGAAAGTTTGATTTAGAAATGCAAATCATTGGGAGGTGTCTATTAGTTCCCAAAGTCTTGTTCTTTATTTCCTATTTCAATTCTCATAACTGATGCTTAAATGCAAATAGATCCAGGAGCTAACTTAATTAGGCATCGAAATTCATTTATTTGTAGCTAAAATGCAAAAAGTCAAATATGGAAGTAATATACAAAGCCAATAACATCATCGCCTGATACAAAAGTTGTGTGCGTACCTCGTTGTCTGAAAGAATATCAAAGTGATCGTACTTTGCGCTAAAGAAAAAGACATATGCAACTCAAAATCAGATACTACGGAAGCGACTCTTTGCAATTGAATTTACAAAGACTTGAAATTATTACATCATAAAATAGAATAGAAGAAGGCATCTAAGTTCTTCTTGAGCCGTTTATAACAAAATAAATCTTACAAAGTATATACTGCACAACATATAAATAAATTAAATTGAAATTTTGCTTCAAGTTTCAACTGAAGCACACCTCATCGAAAGTCTCGTTCAAGGATAACATTCAAGTCTTAACTGCTTCAAAACAAAATAACAATCGATGATATCATCAATAAAGCCATATCATTCGCCATCTTGTCAAATACTAGGCATCGAAAATAACAAGAAAGAAAAAGTATTTACTTGACTGTGCTGAGGATTTGTACGACAGCTCTGCTGAACTTGCATTGTGGCCCCTGTCAAAAAGCAAATAACACGTCAAAAATCTCTGTCCAATTTTTGCAATTTAGGGGAACATTAAACTCATAGCTTAAGAGATTGGTAACATCTCCCAACCTCTAATCGAATCATCACAGACTAGGTCCCTTGGCTCTAGATTTACGGTATATCAGACAAAGTTTCCATTTTTCATCAATTTTGTTCAATGACTTTCCATGCACCATGACTCAACAATAAGACTTAGTTGTGCTTTGGTAGCTTTTATTTAAAAGTAATTTAAATTCAAATTTACAACACCACTTATTTCAAAACTCAATTTGAAAAGTACCTGTGGATCTCCTTTCATGAAAAGCATGATGGGTGCTCTATGAATAAGTTTACCAAGCCTGAAATTAAAACAAATATCATTTATTTCCATTATTGATAAACATAGATTTTAACGAAAGATGCAGAAAATGTATTGAAGGTAATGGAACATAAAGTTTATATAATATAAAAAACTAGAAAAGAAAGCTAATACTCTTTTAAGTTAAAATAAAACGGGTGAGCAAATGAGGCAGCGATGATCAATTAGACATATGAAGAATATTTTAACGAAACAAGTGACTTTAATAAATAAATAAATACCTTAACGGGGACTTCGTAGAAAAATACATAAGATACATAGTAAAAATTGCAGCATATTTTAGCTTAAATAACTACTAATTCGATCGTTTATATGTTGCATATATTTCCAGCAAATTTCAAAACTGTAATTCAACATTCAATATTTTTTCTAAATCATGAAGAAAAAAGATAGATCAAAAACCAAATAAACCTTGTATCCAGATCTTCTGATTTGGGAAGCATTTGATCAAGCTCTCCATTCTCCGCTAGCTCCTAGGAAAATCGATTTGTTATGATAATGCTAGTCTTTGAAAAGCTTAAAATGAAACATTTTTATACTTTGCGGAGACATCTTACAAACAAGTGTTAAGGAAATAGATTTATGCAGTAAAACCAAATGAAAGGTGGCTCTAATGATGATTTTTTGCAACAGATGATAGCTTCTCCACGAGAATGTAGTAGTCGAAGTCAAAGCTCTGAAGTGCCTTTTCTAAACAGGCCAAGTTTTGCAGGCATATTATTGCTGTGTATTCAAACATCAACTAACTCTGACGATATCCAAGCCACCAATCAGATCGCCGTTAGAATAGAGCTGAGGGAAGGTAGGCCAATTTGAGTATGTCTTTAAACCTAGAAAAATAAAAAACGTTTAAAAAATGAAGCTTTAGTAAAAGGCATAGAAAGATATATTTAAATAACAAACACTCAAAGGATCTTCTTACGTTACAAAGGCAAATAAAATAAATGACCTAATGAGATGGCAATTGGAAAACAGGAGTTTTCAAAGCTCAAATCAACAAAAATTCATGTTCAGATAATTATGCAGCTTTAAAAAATGCAATTTTTTCTCTGGTAAATTTGATTTCTAGTTTGATTTACTGTATAGCAAATAAGAAAGCATTATGAGGAAATCAAAAAAAATTCGCTTTGGCTATTTCAACGCATTTGGTGAGAATTGTAGTAGAAAGACCGTACGCCTTTTAAAGGCATTGCTTCCCAATGCATTAAGGTGACCATTAAAATCTCCCATTGGTTGGATTACACAATAGACCTATTGTTAAGTATCCAATCGACAACTTAAGGCTAATTCGCAAAGCTATTGTTAACTCTGAACGGTTGACTGACGGGACATAGTGCCATTACATTTCCTGCAACTACCCTAAAATAAGGGAAAGGGCAGAGAGATGATAAAGCAGTAACAAATTGAGATCCAAGGCAAGACAGAAAAACTCCACTTATCAAAATCAAACACTGCTGGCTATAGATGAATCAAATCAAAGTTATTTAATGTCGTTGCTCATTATTTATATTCGGTAACCCCATCAGTCGAGAGTTGACTCCTTTACACTGGCTATTTCAAACTTTACAATGAAAGTAGATTCAAAAGAAATTTATCAAAAGCTTTGATAGCATTCAGAACATAAAAATATAAAAAGAAAAACAGCTACAATTGACTCTAGATTCTGGTTATTGTGCAATTTCATGGCTCTTTTGAATTAAATGCTACAACACACATACATATCTCTATAAATCTTTATAAATAGAAAGAAAAATCACGTTATGTAGTATCTTTGGGTCAGTAGCGGTCGCCCCCTTCCCCCACCCAATACTTAAGAGGACGATGGTCTTTTGCTCCAAAACGATGGAAAAGTTATCTTATTAAAACAATAGGCTTGCCCCCCTCCCCACCCAAGATATTTGACGAAATGTCCACCCCTGCTTGAGGTAATTGGCATTAGACATGCTTTGACAGCTTCTACTATCAACTTTTCAGTCGACCGTACTTAAAGTGTTATTTATAACACAGAGTTTAGTGAAAAAAAATCGATTTGAGAGAAAAGATCACCTTGTCGTACATAATCGTCAGCCAATATATCAAAGTGACTGTATTTAACGTTGTATTTTGCAAAAATGTCGACTATCTGCCGGCTGAAGCCTGGAACAGAAAATTTCAACCATTAAGCATATAGTAGCATCAAAATATTGGCTATTTAACGCCAGCCATTTGTTACGTACTGTTCTACAATTTTGAATAATTGAATAATTAATATTAATTTATGGAATGGGACGAAACACAGTAAAACCCACACCACAGATACTACTTCTACGTTTTTGAAAAACAGGGTAAAAAATTTTAATTAAAAAGAATACAAAAATCTCTGATAAAAACCTGCCCCCGATACAAAGACTTGCAATTGCAGCTGAGATGTTTCTGTGGTTATGTTTCTTTTTAACATTGACAGCTTTTTGCCAGCCCTTAATTCAATCATTAATAGTTTACCATAGTGTACCCATATTCTCTGCCCCTTGAATCTGACAGTGTCTGTTCCAAATGCATTCTGCTGTTATTACAGGTATCTGCAAAGTGTCTTGGCTTCTAAAGCTTTATGTTGCTGTATTTTCTTTACAGATCTCGTTCATGATATATGGATTGTGCTTTTTTCTTTGTTTTAAAACTTGCAAGCCACATCAGGTTCCCATAATATATGGTAGCAGAGTGAACTCTTTCTAATGGCTCAGCAAATCTTGAATATTATGTTATATGCAATTGATTCTTTGACTTTTTGCGGATTCTTTTGATCAGACTATGAGGGTGCTATTTACAAAGGGGATTCTATAATACCAGAGAATAATTTCCAAAGAATGATCGACTTGAAATTTTGCATACCACATCGAGGCTCTGTTGGACTTCCTTTCATGAACAGCATACATGGAGCACTGCTTATCAAATTTTTCAATCTTGTATTCAAATCCTGAATGAAAAAAGAGAGATATCAACTTGATAAAATTCTTTATAAAGATTAAATTAAATTGCATTGAAAGAATGATGAAAATGATGAAACAACAGAATGTTGAAAAGAACAGAATGATAACTATTGCACCGTATATATAACAAATTCTGAATTAGAAATTGAAAAAATCCAAAATAACCATGTCACTTGAAACCACAGTCATGCTTAATCAGAGTACTGATGTCAACCAAAAATGATTTTAACTGTAGCCCTTTGACAAGATTTTGAGGATGTCAGCCAAAAAGTCCCAGAACAAAAGTCAACAAGGGAGGTAGTGATAAATTGTGCATTACCTCAGGTGCAGTCTCTATCCTTTCATTTACTACAGGAGCTACAAATGATGTTGCATGGTGTTGGATAGCTTTGGTTAATGAAGGAGCATTTGCACCTTCTACACGTCCAACTTCTTTCTGATTCTGAAGAATTTGCATATTTGAAATTTCATGATTAAAACAAGAAACATAGACAAGAAACATTAGGCAATCACATCATTCTGGCAACATATTACTTGATGACATTTAGAATATTTAGCAAAATCAAGGAACTTATCATGAAAAGTGTCATTCTTATTATTGGTATCATTCATAAGTCACAGATACGGATAATAAAAGTATTGTTTTACACTGTTGTGAGTGATGCATAGTTGAATTTAAATGACATATGACTTATGTCTTTTTCAGCTCAGCAGCTACAGAATATATTCAAAGGTAAATTGTGTTGTTTAAAGTGTTATGAAAAGGTACAGTTACACATAGAGATAGAGATATGGCAGCAGAGAGAGAAATACATAGTACCCATATAGATACATAAAATCCCAATATTAGATCAATATTTAACACATTTATATCTTATATCAAGAAAGATTACCACCACCCTGTCCATTGCCAAATGTTCCAAGACAACATTGATGCTTTTGTGTGTACATAGTATAAGGTGCAAGTGTACCTTAGAAACATCTGTGCAGATTTTTCACCAATACAAGACCCAAGGAAAGTTACTTTTTGATCTAATCAAAATTTTAAAAGAATAATGCATATACCTTGATAAGTACAAATACAGGTACAAATGCAACAGAATACTGTTCAGATAACTCTGGAACTTCTTCAGCTTCAATCTGCAAGAAAAAATGAAAAAATGTCTATTATAGCCTTTAAATGAAACTTGAAAGTTGACAGAACTTTGTAAGAATCAAAGTATAGGAGACTGTACAATTAGGTAGCTTAAAAATCATGAATGGAAATGTTCCCAATGCCAACCAGCCTGCTGTCTAAGTTCTCTTGTGTCTATAACAAACATTCCTCTTCTTGTTTTAATTTCTGTTTTCATATGTAACTTATGTATCATACCTCCAATTTATTGATTTTTCAGGTTTTGCATTAGTATGTATTCAACAAAAGAATTATATCAAACAATTTTGGAATCTTCATGAATTACATTAAGCGTATCAAGCTGCTATTGTTTAGCAAAAAATGTTCAAATCATTTACTTGGAAAGCATTGTTCTGAATCTCTTTAAAATATTAAAATGCATTCAAAGAACTGAAAGAACTAAATTACCTGTACAAACTTGGAGTGAATTAAGTCTTTTGCAAGCTCTGTGACAACATCTTTCATCTGATTACATTCTTCAGACCACGAGGCAGAAAAGAAAGCAACAACCAGTTGTCTAAAAAATTACATCAGTTATTTCAGAGCTGAAAAATCACTTTTAAGGTTTCAGATAAAAGAAAATTTTCAGACATTTTGCAGTGAGAACAATATTTTGCTGTGAGAATGAGAGTTTTGCCAAGAAAAAGAAAGTATTGCAATGAGATAGAGAGTTTTGCCATGAGAAAGTTTTGTTGTGAGATAAAGTTTTGCCTTGAGAAAGAAAGTTTTGCTATGGGAAAGAGAGAGTTTTGCTGTTAGAAAGAGAGTTTCTAACAACAAAACTTTCATGAGAAAGGGAGCTTAAATTTTTTCAAAGATCTCCATATTGGTCAAACAGAAAAGAAAAGCTCCACACCACTTCATTTGTGAATATTATATTTGAAATATTGGACAAAATTGTGATGTGAGTCGATTGATTTTGAAGAGAGGGTTAAGATCCAGATTCAAAATTTGATATCTCAAGGTTACAGTAAATGTTTTTGACACAATATTTGGTTTTCTCTCCTTAAAAGCAAAACTATTAAGGGCATCAGATTAAACTATACACCATTACTATTGAGGGCATCAGATTAAACTATACACCATTCGATGCACAAGAATGCAGTGATTCCAACCATATCAAAATAATTGGCAAATATTGTCAAATGATACAATGATAATCGGCTAAAAAGGTCAAGAGATTCTCAGCCCTCAACTAAAAGTTTTGATAAAGAAATTATGGAAACCTTCATTTACATGGAATTTTTTCCATTTTCAAAAGTTCTGTTAGTTTCGAATTTGGTATCATTGTGTGCCTTGAAAGTTCGGCTACTTGAATGTGAAAAAATCGAAAAATGGATGTTTTCATCCAGAAAACGTTTACTGTAGCCTTAATTACTTGGCAGAAAAAGAAGAACTTTAGATTCTGATCAACTGTCACAAAAGGCTGCTTTGTCCTGAAGCCTGCCATGTTTGCCCTTTGGTTGTTCTGAGCATCTCTGAGAGTATGACTAATGAAAAGAGACATATCGATGTAACACATGTGGCTGAATTGACTCAGCAAGCAACATGCCATCAAGGTCATAAAGAGCTTATGCTTATATTTCCATAGGCAAAACCGATGCACAAACAATGGATTGTCAAAAGAATTAAAACAAGCAGTGCAGTATCACAGCTAACAAAACTCTGCATCAAAAATCAAGCTGTTTATCACATGAAATACTTGATTCCACAAAAAATGCTACTCTATCTACTTTTTGCGTTGGGGTTAAAATTTGTATGCCTGTATCATACTGTATGGTTTTGTCACTGCACTGCTTGTATGGTGTATGGTTATATTTTGTTTTACAAGGGCTTTAGAAAACCTGGGAATCGCAGAAAAAGAAGCTGCGATGTTTTGTGAAAAATTTGCTTCTCCTTTCAGTTAATATTCTAGAAAAGATGTAAAACAATTCTGTATTGAAGAATAGCATATGTTTTCCCCAAACAATAAATCTATTATGCTAACTGGGAATTTAAAACTTCACAAACATTTTCCAAACTACCCAAATAATATATGCCCTTGAAGGACGATTAAAGCAAACATATTCGAATGATATTTCAATACTTACTTTCCACTGCTTCCTAAAACTTTTTCAAAACTTTGGACTGAATCCACTTGGACAAAATTTTGTGGGGACGCCATGCTCAGAATTCACCTTTGGCATAACCTCATTTTCGGTATGAGGCTGGCTTGTTGAATTTTGGTTGAATTCAATGAGGTAAACTTTTTACCTCATTGGTTGAATTCAAGGACACAGAAATCCGAAATCAGACAGAGCCAACCAGCCTGCCGACCATCCGTGCCTTCCGAGGGTTTTAGGGGCCGACAACATCCCCTGTTTTATGATTGGTATAATGAACCATCTGCCTAGCAGAATAAATGACTGTTGTGCCGAGGTTTTGGGAATTCCTGAGTTGCGATACCGTTCAAAATCTTAGAAAAAGAAGCCGTGAATTTGAAAAATGAATATTTTATCATCACCTGAGAGATAATTGAAACATTACTGTCTTTATAAATTGAGCGCTTTGCATGAAAAGCAAGATAAATTTATCTTACGGTGATTCAACTAAGGGCAAAAACGAAAATAGGAGATTCAAGCGCACAATTGACCATAATGCGTGGTAGCAAAAAAGGTTAAAAATACAAAGAGCCCCATTTCTAACATTCTGTCTCTGCACTATTGTGCTTGATGGGACCTTCTTGTGGTCTGTTTATAGACCCAACTATAAAATGACTCTTAGGCCTGCAAGAAGGTCCTGTCCTGTTAAAAATGGTTTCTAAGAGCCCTAGGTGTCTCAGTTTTGTAATACAGTACAGTTGCGTTCAACCTTGCATAAGTAATTTATTGATCAATATGCATAAGTATAATAAAACTTTGCTTTCCTGGGTGAAATTCGCTATCAATGATTCTCATTCACCCAAGCCTGCGCACAGACCCAATATTCTGAGGAGACTACCATTCCTCTAGTCTGGACCTCATATTGGCCTATTCACAGCTCGTAGACACACTACTATGATTTACTATAGGTCATTCAGTGTAAAGAGCAGTAAACGAGACAAACTTTGCAAACGCATCATACGCGAAATTCAGGTCATTCTAGCACTTGTACGTCAGCAATTGAAATATCCCGCGCTTACAAGATCATTGAAATTGAATTATGGCAACTGTTATCTTTATGCTTTACTGAAAACATGAAACTGAAACGCTACCGATTCCCAATTTATCCCAACTAATAGTTTAAAAGGATACGCATTGGTATAGAGAAACCGCGGCATAAGGGAGCACAGAACGCGAGACAATGGCCTTTAGAATCGAGCATTTGGGTCACTTGTTCAAGGCAACTTTTTCAGTTCAGCCGTCTAATATCTAACTGAAATTGCTGCACACGAAATAAGTTGCCTACAACGAGATTGTAATAGTTGAAACTTGGCTACAATTAAAACCTTGGGAGGTGGCACAGTCGTTTTAAAACATACTGGTATTAGTCAGATATTTACGGGTGTAAAGTTTGGTGAATTTCACATCTTTATTGGTTGAATGTAAAAGGATTTGATGTAGATACTTGGTAGGACAAAATTCCATGTCATCGAGATTTTGGATCGTAGGTATTTTCACAATGTAAAATTGCTAGCTACGGACAGCTCGTTGATAACTTATCTAAATTTGATTTTTTGGAGCTTGTAGCAGATAGAGAGCAGGTATCTTAGGTCATTTTTCATATGATCTATAACTTCTAGGTTGCTCTTGACTTTCTCTGGACTGATCTCCTCGTATGTCATGATTATTTGTACCTTCCTTTCACTGCAAACTCAACCATCAACAGCCCATTCGTTGTCTCTTTCTGACTAAATACCGACGGAATGAAACAAAACTGCCAATTGAAGGGAATTTTGAACATAAAATGATTAATTTTTTCATATTAGCTGATCTGAATAAAGCTGATTAAACCAAAAACGTTATCAATAAATACAATGCGCCATTGATGCTTATTTCTAACTAAGCATGATTGACCATATGCATAAATCTATGACAAACGATGATTCATTGGATTGAAACATGGCTTCATAACACCATTCAAAGAACGATAAGATCGAGAATTCAATGCTGTTATCTTGACTGTACCATGTCATCTCGCCCAACTTAACCAGATAGAATAGTCTGTAATACGACTTTCACTTACGGCTTGTACCAACTGTAAATATTTTTCATAGTTAATTCTAGTTTCTGAGGCTCACCTGAAAGCTTAAAACTTATACCTGTGGCTTCCACATTTGGAAAGCCGTAAAAAGTTAATAGGACCTTTAAGGCACTATAGAAAATAATTACCATGGGAAACTCCATAGATTTTCTTACTTATGCTTTTTGATAATGTTGGTGATTAGAACCCCCTTATGAAATTCAATTCCCCTATAATCAAAATTTATTTGACGAGGTGATTCTACAGTCTGGGGGTCATATTTGCAATATATCGAGACCTCAGATAGCTCACACCTTCCAGGGACTCTAGAATTTGCCCTTATGTAAAAAAGAAGTGCCTGAAAACCTCTCCTGATGTCGAAGCAATACCAACTTTTCCCGGTATACAAAACTTGCAATATTGATCATTCAATTTTGTTGATAGTCATTTGTTAAGCTTAAACCCATGCTTCACCTTCGAGCCGAGGGTAAGTAAAGATGACATGATTCATTTGAATCTGAACCAAGCCCTGTAAAATTTCCAAGAAACCATTGACACGTCTCTACAGCGGACTCATGTCCTACAGTTGAGCTATACATGGAGCTTTACTGACTCAAACACCCAAAAGGTGACATCACTAAAGAATAACGTGCAGAGGTCCAGTTTGTGAAAGATAGAATCTGACCACTTCGTTGCATTCACGTGAAAGTACGGAGATTATGCGCAAAAAACATTTTGTACAGTATTGTTATCATTCGCAAGAAAATACAGACACATCTCCGAACAAGACTAAATTAAGAAGTGTCAAATTTCGTTTCAAAGACAATTCCAAGATAATAGTTGCGTTTCCAAATGGTAATGCGTGGTCGACTGACATTTCATCGTGTATAGTAATGACGGTCGTAAACCTGTTGAAAATAAGAACAAACAGTAAAACAGAATACTAACAACAACAGTCTATATAGTTAATTAAAACAATGTTTCATATTTAACATTGTCTTTATTCAGACAATGTTTCATATTCAGGTCCACCGAGAGGGAGGCAGGGAGGCAGACTGTCTCATGGCCTGTGCCGAGAGAGGCCTCAAAAAGATATAACAAAGTTCCAAACAATAACAGCAACAATAACAATCACAGATTTAATGACGTCATTACGGGCCGCATTTGTCTTCTTGCCCCAGGCTCCAGAAAAGCTCTGGGCGGGCATTATCACATTGGGTGGTTTCCAGTTTGACACCTTACTTCGAGCCATCCGAAAAGAACACATTAACAAAAACATAACAAGAAAGATGTGACTTGCCTTCAAAGAAAAGATAACGGCCTTACTACTATCATAGGATAAATAATAGATCATTCATCGTGAAAAATGATGCGATTAAAATCCCTTCAGGTATCGTTGATGTATACTGCAAATGTCAAGCATCAAGATGAGCTTGCATTGACTCACCTCTCGCATGGTTGATCCTAACTGTGCTGGTGAATTGGTGACGTGTACGCCAGCCTCTTTCAATGCTTCAATCTATAGATATATGGGATCTCTTAGTTTTATAATGTTAAGCACAGGAACCAAACAGAAACATAGATCTGAACAAGAAGTGACTGTAAGTTGAAATTTACAACTTCAAGGCATACAGAAAATAGTTACAAAGAAAAATTATTTCTATGTATAGTTGAGGTTTTTTCTTGGTACAAACCTTTGCACCAGCACCACCTTTTCCGCCAGCAATGATAGCACCAGCGTGACCTATGGAGAAATGTTTCTTGAATGGAAATTGAATAATTTTTACATAACTCGTTTTGCAAACAAACGCAGAAGGAAAGTAAAATATATTTGTATGTAGCAAATGTTTGTTATGTCACACGATTTTAAAAACAAAAACTCGACCTGAAACATTGAAACAAAATTGAAACAACCGACTTTACTAAACATTAAATAACTTGCATAACGTTATGAACCCTAGTTAAAGGTTGATCTAAAATATCTTCTTCCAGGACACAGACAATGAACTAAGATTTATCTGACCTCCTTGCGTTCTTGATTACATTACGAAATAATGAGCTTACCCATTCGTCTTCCAGGGGGTGCAGTCAACCCTGCAATAAATCCAACAACAGGTTTATGTTTTTCTCCAACATTGTGTTCCAACAAATATTCTGCAGCTTTTTCCTCAGCACCACCACCAATTTCACCAATCATTATAATTCCTACAACATAACGGACAGCTATCAATATGCATCCTAATTTTAGGCGTAAAAAACATAGTTATTACTTGGAAGTTTCACCAATTTAAACAGTTTCCCTAGATTTTTTACTTTTCCTGTGCTATGTAAGAGTTGTTAGTAAAACTGACATATGAGAAAAACACATCTAGCGACCAACAGCAACAAATTCTCCGGTGACGGGTAAAGAGCAGAGGGAATGGGTTGTCTTGTTAAGCATCGGAGATTACGAGTCAAGGATAAAGGAATCGAAATAGCCAACATATACAGTTTGGAAAATCACACAGTGAGACGACAGACGAGTATGATTCACATTTTTAACTAGTTATAACAGTCTCTTTCTTATAATGAGCCGTCAAAGTGTCGCAGATCTGAAGCAGTTGGCTACATGTGTTGTCCATATGATAAACAGGTGCCTAATGGTCACAGTGAGCATGGATTGTCGACTAATTGTAACGGATACATGGGAATCATGCATCAGGTGTGTGTTAAAGAATTGTCTAACCAAGGGTGTTTGTGGGCCAAGTGTCAGAGTAGAAGCCTGATTATGTAGGTCACCGAACATCTACGCTTGTGGAAACACATTAGCAAGGGTTTGTTGCTACTAGGATACAAACGAGGGTGGCAAAATAAAACCTATACAGGACTAATTCATTACTTGTTGGCTAAGGGTTGCAAGTAATATCAACGCAGTTAGCCTCTTAACTGTCATCGAAAGATGAAGAATCGTACACAGCTTAGATGATATATCTCATTAGGCTCCCTTGCTGTTAATCATGTTACGGACATAATGTGATTTGGAATCAATACTCAGTGTTTGCATACTAAAAAACGATCAAATTTACAGTAAACTGGAGTTGGTCTACAAATGAAAGAACTATAACAAAGTGTGAGGATTCATGTAGGATCCATCTGATATGGAAGTTCCATAAGAAGGTCATCAAGAGCGAAAATAGAAAAATATCCTGAAAGAAAGTTAGGAAAAAACAGAAGCGAGATAAAAGCAAGACAGCCTCAGTGAAGAAGAAAATATACGGCCAGCAATTAATTCTGGAAACATCAAAGACAGAAATGTGGCAATAAAATATTATTTCAAAAAAGCAAAGCATGTAGGAACAGAAGATCACGCGAAAAACAGCAAGTAACAAAAGTGTAAAAGTTCTATATCAGAAAAATATCTCAAAGAAAGTCCAGGGAAACTAAAGATCACTTATAAATTACAACTTTCGGAAACCCACAAGTAGTTATTTCGAAAGCTAAAATTGATAATAGTCTGTTTTAAAAACCATTGGCAGACACATTATTAACAGCTTCAGGTCGTTAAAAACTAGAAAATGAGACGCCAGAATGACCTGTAAGCGTTTTAGAAATATAAAGGAGACATCTAAAAAGCCATGAGATATCGTTACTTGGCACGGAACACATATAACTTCGTTTATGAAATGACAATTACTGTTTACAGGACTGTCATAAAGTGCACAATGTCGTATAGGCAGAGCTGTACACACTATTTAGGGTATAGAA